TCGACAACACTAATTATATAGCCAATTACTCTAAAGAATTTTCAACAGATTATTCTTCAGTGTTTTCGTCTACAGACCCTAAGAAGGATAAAATTATGAAAGTACTGATGTATTCTGTAAACAATCCGCTATACTTCTTATACCAAAATCCTTCTACGGAAACGAACCAGTTTAAAAAAGTTCGCGATTGGGTATCTGATGAAAACGGGCAGTTCACAGACAGATGGGGACACGCCACAGAAAAATCACCTTTCGATCCCTGTCCTGAAGGGTGGCGAATTCCTGATACTTTTGGTACTCCTACGCATTCGACGTTACCTCAGCTAGGTAATTTCTATTCTTACTGGCCACTATCTAGTGGAAACAATCCTTGGTATTATAATGGTTATCAGGCTTCAGGTACAGGACAATATGGATTAGCACCTTCAAGTGTACACCACGCTAAAAGAGATGCTTATTCACCTGCCAACAAATTCTATCCGGGAAGCAAATCTTCAATTTCAAACTATCCTGCCACCAGATTTGGTTTTGTTTTCAACGATAACAGATATAAAATCGGCAGTTATCCAAATAACGGGATTCGAGGCTTTTTAGGAGGGAAAGATCTAACCATGATTACAGCTGACGGGCCTCATAGATTAAGATTTCATATTTCAGGAGTTTGGACCGCTTCACCTACCGATGTTTATTCAGGAACGGCGATAGGATTACATTTCAACATAGAATCCTCAGCCGAGTTCAATATGCAGACAGGATACCCGTATTATCCTCAGGCAGCAATGTCTTGTCGTTGTGCAAAAATCAAGTATGATGGAAATGGAAATGAAATAGGAAGATACGAACCTACAGCTATGGAAGTTCCGAAAAACGCAACTGCAAAAGCATCGAATTTTCTTCCCAGCCAGAAACAAAAATGGTAAAATGGTATTAGAATGGTCTAAGATGCAACCATTGGAATGATGAGAACTGTCACAACAAAAGACCGTAACTAATGCATTCTCATTTTCCGTTTTCATGTTTATTCTCTTTCTCGTGAGTAAAGCTACCATAACTAGTTTCACCTCAGCTACGAAGATTATCAGATGGCAAAGGTACATTTCTAGCTCGATTCCGAAGAATCAAGTCGAAACGGTAATCGTTCAATTACTCGAAAGCGAAGATAATTCAGTATTCGATCGATCAACAGACTGTTCAAGAGATGACTGTATATATTAGGTTGGCAACTAAGTTTTTGCGTTTTTTTAGAACTCTCTAGAACACTCGAGAAAGTTCTGGAAGTCTCCATAAGCAGGGTATATAGAGGGAGTGTGAATATCTTCCGAACGATAATAAAGCTATCGATATGGACGTTGATGATGGGCTGGAAATGAATCTCCCTCGGAGAGAGATTCGAGTGCTTTTACTTCATGAATTTCGTCTGGATAACTAAGCAACGCAAGCAACGGACGATATATACAGTACGATGGGTAAGGATGTCCTCTGCATTCGTACCGCACAACATTGCTTCAATCGGTTTCAAAACGGTAACTTTGTACTCGAC